ACCCACCGCCATCCGTCCCTGCTTCCCCGCCGCCAGCGAGCCCAGTGATCAGCAACCCAACTCCATCCGTCCCTGCTTCCCCACCGCCGGCCACGGTCTCACCAGCTACCCCGCCGTCGCAGCCCACGGAGTGCCTGACGCCGTTGATGGGGCTGACGCCATGCATGGGCTACCTCACCAACACCGGCGTGGCGACGCCCCCGGCGGCGTGCTGCGGCGCCTTCAAGTCCCTGGTGGACAACGCCCCCATCTGCCTCTGCCACGGCCTGAACGGTGACATCAACAAGATCATGCCCGCGCCCATGGACTTCATGCGCATGATGTCGCTCCCCGGAAACTGCGCCGTCCCGCTGCCAATGCAGACGATTGCCCAGTGCGCCAGTAAGTCATCGTAGCCGGCCGATCGTCAGTATTTTTGGCACTGTTATTAGCATGATTGGAGGAGGATATTGACTTTTTGTCTATGTTATGACAGCGGCATCTGTGCCACCACTGGACCCTCCTACCGCCCCAGCAGCCCCATCCCCAAGTAACTATTGTTCCCTTTGGAAGTTCTGCCTTCACTAAATAATTTGGCCATGCTTGCTAGTGTTTAATTTGTCGTATGATCTATAGTCTGATACGTGTTTTCCCCCCTTTGCAGAGCCATCACTGTAGAAGCCAGAGTTCCGAGTAGTTCGAGGAAGCAGTAGAAGCAAGAGGATCCATCGATATGAAGTCCGGTCGAGATGATGAATTAGCTGTCAAAAATCACAAAATCTAGTAGTTTGAGTATAGTGAGGGATAGGATATATTTACATGTTAGGTTAGTGTCTTATACTACAAGTGTGCTGGCGATTTAGATCTACAAAGTACCTATATTCTGTAGGAGAATTCTTTTCTTTTCATCACTGTAAATATATATGCGGTGATCAATATTAGTCCATACGTGCATTGCGGATTCGTAAGTGTATATGTGCATGTGCTTTACGGGTGCCCCTGCGTGTTGGATCAGCTCTTGATTCAAATCATTCTTCCTCTTTCAGTTTCAGGAGCTTGTGAATCTGCAGGATACGCGCTTGTTTTTTTCCCCCTCTAAATTGCAGGCTACGCGTGCTAAACTCTTAAACCAAACGCACTGTGAGGTGCTAGAGCCCATTTGTTTTTTTTGAGGTGAATGCTAGAGCCCATGTGTGTTATGCGTGTTGTTCCTCTTTTAGGCCCGCTATGATATATGGGCTTTTTACCAGGCCAGCTTAGCCTGCTGGGTCTCTTGTTTAGGCCCTGGCTGCGAGCGTGCAAGTGGGCGACGATGATGGCGAGCAACGCAGTGCGCGAGCGAAAGCGATTGACGCACGCGGTACGGCTGCGGTTGCCAGTTGCCGAGTTGGCCACTTGGAGAGCCCAAGTGGGCGCCTGCCGTCCACTTGGCTGATAGGATTACATCAACCGCAGCGACCAGCCTGCCACGGTGTCTCCTGTGCCAACGCGTGCACATTCTTGATTCTGTCGGCCGGGGGTTTGCTGCTGCGGCGGAGTTTCCAGGTGCAGCTGCCGTATGGTGAATTCTATGAAATGCTACAAGAGCAATGAAATTTGCAATGATTTGAGTTTGAAAATGATTCGCACCCAAGATAAAATGATCTGTTAGGATTTCTCCGAAAATCCGTTGCAATGCTCCGTATGCGTTTCACTTGCCGATATTAAGAGCATGTGTTACGCTAGACGTCTACGAATACGCATTCCCCTCCCTCAACGTTAGTGATTAATTAATTAAGACACCGATAGCCCGAAAAATCAGCACCCGTTGCACTAAACGATTTATTTTTTTGCAGAGAAAGGGCCAAGCACCCGCCGCCTTATCCTGCGCCGATGTCGTGCCTGACTCCATAATTTAATGGATGATATAACTGACGAACACTCAGAAAGTCTATCCTACCGTCAGCTGTTAGCGCCACGCGTTAGGCATGCCTTAATAAGGTGGCATTTTCTTATCAAAGACATGCACTTCATTAGATTCTACTTAATGTGGATTTGTCTTTTGAGTGATCAAGGGAGAGTTTGCGTGGCATGAATGTGGGTAAAGAAATTTGTTCACAGGCTGATAAAACTATATCTACGAGTCAGACAAAATCCGAGAAAAAAATGACTAAGCTTTTTTATGCGGAAATTACCAAGCTAATAAATAAAAGTAACTAAATGAACCCCTGCAGAAAATAATAAACAAATTGATGAAAACGGCGAAAGGAAACACACATGAACTCATCCATCCCCGAATGACCACACGAAAACCGTACGCTTCCTCTCGGGTCGGTCGAATCTCAGCCCTCCATCCACCAGCCGAACGATCCGGGCCGTCGAAAGCCAGTCTCCACCCCGCCGCAGCCGCCAGACTTTTTCTCCCCTCCGCCCTCCCCGTCCCTTTCCTCTTCATCCCCGATCCCTTCCTTCCGCACGCCGCTCCCAAGCTCCTGCCCTACCCGACCTCCAATCCCACCCAATGCGGCTCTAAAAATATCTCACTCGCTCCGCCACCGCCGACCCCCAGACCTACCGCCGCGCCGTAGCCCGGCGTCGCCGCCTCCGCCTCTAGCGCTCCCCGCCGCCGCGGCTGCCGTCGCCGTCCCCGTTCTACCCCGTCGCGTCCCTGCTGCCCACACCCCGTCCGCGGCCTCGGCCAGTGGTTTTCGAGGTATGAGCTTCTAGTCATCCGGTGATCGATTCATCAGGATTAACTTCGAGAAATTTCGGGTGCGCGCGTGGCGCATCATCTAGATCCGCCGCGGTGCCGGAGCGATTGGCTGTAGCTCGTAGCTGCCGAGGGCGGATTAACCTCTATCTGATCTGTTATAGCAGTTTGTAAGCAAGCAGCGATTGAATGGAATGCTCTTCGTGTGACTGAGTTGCTAAATCCGAGCAGGAAAGAAGGCGGGGGCGCATGGGGAGGTAGGCGTCGGTCGCTGCTGGAGTGAATTTTGGCTGCCGGAAATGGTGCTGGTGGTGAAGCAGCACCGCTGCACGCACTCGGCGTCCTGCTCCTGCACCAAGGGCCACCTCAGCGAGGACGCTCTGTTCCTCGTCTTCCGCCACATGAACTGGAACCCCAGGCTGATCGCCAACCTCTCCTGCGTCTGCAAGTGGTTCGACGAGGTCGCCAAGCAAGTGCTGTGGAAGGAGTTCTGCCATGCCAGGGCGCCCAAGATGATGCTGGATCTGCATTCCGACGGCAGCCACATTGTCGACGGCAACTGGAAGGCGCTCGGGAAGCTGCTGATCTACTGCAACGGCTGCACAAAGGGGGGCTTGTTCGGAAACATCCATGTCCCCGGACACTTTGTGTTCAGGACGCGCTTCTCAAGGACCGCAGGCAAGAGCTTCCTGCCTCTGCAGTGTAGGATGGATGTCTTGTATGTGTCCGATCCGTGCGAACATCTTGACCAGGGGGAAGAAGGCGACCTGGGTTTTTTCCGTGGCATCTTCAAGTCGTTTGCCACTTCAAGGGTCAAGAAGATCCTGATTGAGAAGCAGGCTAGGTTCCATCCAACGGAGGTTTGCCCCTATTGCAAGGCTAAGCTATGGAACATGCTGCATGCTGATATGATGCCGGCGAGTGCTTCCGCCAGGCTGGGTGCTTACGATGATTCCGTGGAGTACTTTGTATGCCTGAATGGACATGTTATTGGATTGGGTACCCTGTTACCTCTCTCGGATTCTGAGGAGGCACCGGAGGAGTAATCATCAGGAACAGTGATCAGGTGATGATATGCTATGTTTTCTTGGTTCCTGTCATTAGTTTAACTTTCAAAGCGCAGCTTAGCCTTATCTTCAAAGGTTCATTTTTTATTGCTTACTTGTGAAGATAATCAGATAGATTTCTTTACGATATCTGTTGGTATACAGACTGATAGCTTTTAATTTATGAAGATGCAAACTGAAACTCAAGCTGCATATCCATTGTTTGGTCATGCCGGCAGATTAACTCTTCAATTTCTTTAAGAAGACCAATTTCTATGGGCTGACTATTTGAATGAACAGAGTCATAGAATTAACAGTGTTCAATTTGTATTGTGTACATCAAGGTGCTACATGGCTAGTTCAGTTTTATTTTAATCTTGCATACGTGTGGTTTACCAAGCACATGATATTTACATCCTGAAACCCCAAAGGAATCAGCGAGCAGTTGCTGGAACATTGTGTAAAAATGCTTCTTTTAGATTCTGTACAAAATTTCATGCCCGGAAAGTTTCAGAGAAATTAATATTTAAAATTGGTCTCATACATTTACATCATTGTTTTTGATACACTGTTCAAACAACGATCAGTGGCTATGTTTATATCAGTAAGAAAGCTCACTAGGCTGGCTCTACCCCTCATCTACTAATCTTAGTGCATGGTACTTCTTTAAATGAAGCCGGGATCATGGCTGTAACTAAATTTGGGAATCACAGAATTTCATTTGCCCATGTTTCTGTTAAATCCACAAGCATACTAACCGTTTATTCTTAGACCAGCCATGTTTTCCAGCTGCCTGTCCCTCTTGTTTCTCTCTGTAAATTTTTGGGGAGAAAACGTCACTGCTTATGTATCTATAAATGTGTGATGTATCAACCTCATAGTTTTCTATACCTATATTTTAGCTAATAAAACAAATTTTGGCGATAAAACTGCCAGTTAGAATAAGACAGCATAAATGTAAGCTTACTTATGTGATGATAGTGCAACGTATCAATAACCAGTACATTTATCTTTTGATGATGAACAGAATTGCAAGAGTCTGTTCAACCAGAGCAGGCCGTTCAACCAAGACCATAATTGGCTCCCATTTTGGACTGAAAATATGTTTCTTTTGAAGCAAAGAAATATGTTCTGAATATAGCCGTTGTTGGTGACAGGTTTGCAAGATGGAGTCCTGGGGAGAAGGCATGGGCGCGGCAAAGCTGCAAGGCGACAAAAACGTGCAGCTAGCTTTGCATCTAACCGCAGTGTTGTCCGTACTGGTGCATCAGATGAAAATGCTGTTTCTCTGTGGTTCTTCTCTGTTTGTTGATCGATTCTCTGTTGTTCTCGTCATTGTAATGACCATGCCGACCTTTCACTTTGTCCTTCATGTGCAGAGCATATGTAGCAAGGTGTGATGAGACCGAGTTGTAAAATTGGTGCCCATATTGGACCTCATATATTCATGTGCTGTTCCTAACCGTATTGTTTTGTTTCTACCGACCTGATTCGTGTCCTGCTGCTATAGAAATTTGGGGACGGAGGAGTCGACCTATATGCTCCTTTGATTTGGACAAAACTTGTCTGATGAACAGGTGTATGGGTTGATGCTATTTCCAACTGCATAACTGGTGTGATGTTGTTGAGATTTGTTTTAACACTCTAAACTTACATCGACCTGTACTGTTGCTTATGCCAGAGCATGTTTATCATTTTCAAAGTTTGCTGATTCTTTATGTTGTCCAACGTTGAAAATAGCAGCCTCGTTTACTTGTTTTAGGACTTGTACAATGGGAGAGGCTTAGAGAGGTGCTTAGAAAAATCATCAACAACAACAACAACAACAAAGCCTTTAGTCCCAAACAAGTTGGGGTAGGCTAGAGGTGAAACCCATAAGATCTCGCAACCAACTCATGGCTCTGGCACATGGATAGCAAGCTTCCACGCACCCCTGTCCATAGCTAGCTCTTTGTCGATACTTCAATCCTTCAGGTCTCTCTTAACGGACTCCTCCCATGTCAAAATCGATCGACCCCGCCCTCTCTTGACATTCTCCGCACGCTTTAGCCGTCCGCTATGCACTGGAGCTTCTGGAGGCCTGCGCTGAATATGCCCAAACCATCTCAAACGATGTTGGACAAGCTTCTCCTCAATTGGTGCTACCCCAACTCTATCTCGTATATCATCATTCCGGACTCGATCCTTCCTCGTATGGCCACACATCCATCTCAACATACGCATCTCCGCCACACCTAACTGTTGAACATGTCGCCTTTTAGTCGGCCAACACTCCGCGCCATACAACATTGCGGGTCGAACCGCCGTCCTGTAGAACTTGCCTTTTAACTTTTGTGGCACTCTCTTGTCACAGAGAATGCCAGAAGCTTGGCGCCACTTCATCCATCCGGCTTTGATTCGATGGTTCACATCTTCATCAATACCCCCATCCTCCTGCAACATTGACCCTAAATACCGAAAGGTGTCCTTCCGAGGTACCACCTGGCCATCAAGGCTAACCTCCTCCTCCTCACAGCTAGTAGTACTGAAACCGCACATCATGTACTCGGTTTTAGTTCTACTAAGCCTAAACCCTTTCGATTCCAAGGTTTGTCTCCATAACTCTAACTTCCTATTTACCCCCATCCGACTATCGTCAACTAGCACCACATCATCCGCAAAGAGCATACACCATGGGATATCTCCTTGTATACCCCTTGTGACCTCATCCATCACCAATGCAAAAAGATAAGGGCTCAAAGCTGACCCCTGATGCAGTCCTATCTTAATCGGGAAGTCATCGGTGTCGACATCACTTGTTCGAACACTTGTCACAACATTATTGTACATGTCCTTGATGAGGGTAATGTACTTTGCTGGGACTTTGTGTTTCTCCAAGGCCCACCACATGACATTCCGCGGTTAAGCACCGGTGCCTATTTCTGTAGGAGAGGTGCTTAGTTAAGCGTCTACCCTGTACAAATAAGCACTGGTGTTTAAGGAAAGCCTGGTTTATTTCTCTAAGCACCTTCCTTAAGCATCTCCCATTGTACAAGGCCTTAGGAAGCTTGGAGTTTGAGTTCATGCAAGTTGCACGATTTGTATTATGAAGTAAACGCCATATTGGTCACATTTTATACTATAATTTATGCACAGATTTGTATTGTGAAGTTACGCGAAGTCGTGAAGTACTCCTTTTATAAAGAAATACTTCCTCCGTTCTTAAATATAAGTCTTTTTAGAGATTTCAACAAATGACTGCATATAGAGCAAAATGATTGAATCTATACTCTAAAATGTTTATATAATCCGTATGTTGTAGTTCATTTGAAATGTCTAATAAAACTTATATTTAGAAATGAAGGGAGTATAAAACTTTTTAGATTATACTCCCTCCACTCTTATATTAAGAGATGGAGGGAGTATATTTTTGCCCGCATCCCCAAGTTCTTTGGCTCTTTCCTGTGCTTTCTCTGCAGTGCAGTACACAGTTTCCATTGCTCTAGATTGTTTTTTTCAGTGGAAGATCTTGCGCTCTAGATTTCTTTTAGGAGATGGTCTAGATCTGCTTCCTGGTGGTATCGTCGTAAAGTTCGTCGGAGGCGAGGGGGCCCGGCCCAGCCCAGCCCAGCGCGGCGTATATGAAACACGGGCTTGGTGGCCCAATATATCCTTCGTCTAGCCGTTCCCCGCTCCCCGTGTTCCGTTCCCCCCAGCGGCGGAAACGGCCGTCGTTCCTTGTCAGAGAACCCCACGCCTCCGCAACCCCTAGTGCTAGTGCGGGCGTGGTCCATGGAGATCGCGGCGGAGCCCGTGCGGCTCACGGAGGAGCAGCGCCGCCGCATCGAGGCCAGCCGCCTCGCCGCCCTCGAGAGGCTCAAGCGCTCCGCCGCCGCCGGCACCACCGCCGAGTCGCTCAGGCTCGCCAAGTGCCCAAGAACCGCCCATCCTCTGCCCCCGCGTCCCTGCCCGCCGCCGCAACCGCTTCCGCCGCCCGCGCCTCCGACGGGGTTCCGGGCGGTGCTGGAGGTGTGCAGCCCCGACGAGTTCCAGGTGACGGTGGGCCGAACGGAGGGCAAGGCTTTCCCCGGGGAGGCCGACTGCCTGCGCGCCGTCGAGGACTGCGTCGCTTCGGTACGATCCTCGCGTTCTTGAATTCTTGTCTAGTGCACGCATCTCTTGCCGATTCGGGCTCCGATTAGGGATCTAGTTCTTTCTTGGCGATGCGCGAGTAATTCCGTGCTTTCTTGACTATACTAAGAGTTTCTCCAAAAAAAATCGTATTTCTTGGCGAAACTTTGGTGTTTGCGTGTTTTCTTGACCATTATTTGTTCTTTGATTCGACATGCCTGAATCGCTCCGGTGGTTATTTGCCCATTCCGCGTGTCTGACAAATGGCCGTTCTTTAATTTGGGTTCTTGGCCAGTTGCTCGTTTTACAGCATTTTCTTGCCAAATGGATATGGATACTGTATTTCATATGGATTTTTGTCAGAAGGTTTGGTTCACTCATAGCCTAGTGATCTAATCCCCTGTGTGCCATCGCCAAATCAACCCATTCATACCTTCACATGGATAATCGCCTTAACGATCTTGCTCCAAACATACTCTAGCCAATCTTCTGTCTGTCTTATGGCTCTATGCAATAGAATGCTAGACACAAACATTGGAGGTCGAACCCTGACAATGCCCTGCCTTTTGGCTTAACTGCCGAGCGTTGAAGAATTTGCTTGGCCTTCCAGATATCAGCTTTATGGGCAATTGCTGGTACCTACGAATGCCACAACAAATATTTGAGTATATAAAGTGCCAGCAACTAATATTTCGTCCATATTTCAGTGTCACCTTTTTAATCAGTAAATGATTGTGCCACTAAGTTATCTTCACAGTATTCGCTGTTCTATAAAACATACCTTTTGGACAAGAATATATAGTCAAACTATTGATATTTTGATTGATAACATCTTTGCAAGATGTTTAGATTAGATACTTGAAAATCCTATGTGTGAATCTGCTTCAGAAAGTACTTCTGCAGTATTCATTTTTGGATTTTATAGATATATTGCAATAGAAGTTAACGATCCAAGATGTATTTTGAAGACCGCAAAGATGTCTGAAATGGCAGCTTTTATAGGACTGAAGGGAGTAAATGGTGATTATATCACATTTTAGAGTAATCCTTTTGGGGATCGAATAATTTGTGGATGCTTTTAAGCATAAAATGTAAACTTCCGCTGTAATAATTATTTTCATCTGGTTCTTACTTCTTAGTCCCTTTTCTGGATGATAAGCCTTTTGGTCTAGAATCTAAACTGATATCTTCCCTCTTATTGTTGGTAGGCTGTACCATTCTCCACAACACAAAGTCAAAGCGGGCATATTTCTTCTGTCTTTAAACTGGTGCACTATGAGCTGGTGTTGCAATGCTTGAGGAAGTTGACTGGCGTTGTTGTGCAAGATATACCTTATAGAACAAGGCGTGCTGTTCAAAATGCTGGCACAAACTGCGGTTCTGATAAAGAAGTTGACGAGCTTCTCATGAAGCTGCCACGTCGATTACAAGATGCACTTCTACCCTTCCAACTTGAAGGTGTGAAATTTGGGCTTCGGAGGCAAGGGCGCTGCCTTATTGCAGATGAGATGGGGCTTGGCAAGACTCTCCAGGTAAGCACATTATATTTTGTGTATAATTATTGTGCAGATAGTTTATATGCATAAAATTGTTTGTTCCACGGTGTTACAACTTGCAAAATACAGTAAATTGGCATATGGATATTGAGCACACTGATATTGAGCTTGCATCAATACATTTTGGGCAGTAACCGATTGGAATTTTATGTCTGTTTTACTGAACAGTTAATTATATAGCACTTGCCTTTTAGACCTTAATGAAGAAATCATCATATCTGCTTTTGAGCGTAATTTCCCCCCCATGTTGAAGCAGTATTATTTTTCTTGAACAGAATGGGGAAGTAGTATGTTCTCATTTATTTAAATGCAGGCAATTGCAATAGCTTGTTGCTTCAAGGACGAGGGCCCTCTATTAATAGTGTGTCCAGCTGTTCTGCGTTATACTTGGGCGGAGGAATTGGAACGCTGGGATCCTTCATTTCTTCCAAAAGATATTCATCTTGGTACTGATTCAGAGTTTCATTATTCAAGAGTTAATTTTACTGATGTCAAACCTGGTATTATAATTCTTGCATATCTTTAGTGTATCTAATTTGATCCTGAATGCTTGTGAAGTTACAACGATCTCCATATTTATTTCATCAAATTTGAATTGCCTACCACATGTGCCATGTGGTAACAATCTCCATATATGAATTGCATATTTTGTATTTTATCCATACATATTCGAAGTATCGAATTCTTTTGGCCCAGATATCATTCATTTGTTGCATCAGCGTCAGTTTTGAAATATTGCAGTAAAAACAGTTGCAGGACAAAATTGCATTCCGTATGAACATTCATAGATGGACCAGATCACTCTATACCTAGTTTCAATGGATCATTAGTCCAATATTGCTTTTTCATAAGTTGACCTATCCTTGGATCTTAGTATCTTACTGAACATAGAATCATAAAATAAATGGAAAATGTTCTCGGTTTACATTTTTAAAACAATAAAACCTACCAAGTATGTGGCAAAATGATTTAAAAAAGCGAAGAACATTTAAACTGAACCTAATGTGACGCCATCTTTAACAAAAATGTGAAGCATGAACTATATATGTTTGCTCCAAGCGTCCAACACATATACCGTTCATGACTACAGAACTTAATGTACAGTAAAAAAATTAACTTGTGACTAACATGCATGATTTGATTCCCCCAAGAAAAAAAGGCATGCATGGCTTGATGAGGTGGCATGCTTTGCATGGATATATTTGCAAAATTGTAACTTATGAGTACATGCATGATGATTTGAAGATGTCACACAATTTAGTAAATCAAACGGCTACCAATGATTGAGGTGATATGGAGGCACGCATGTGGAGAGTAATCTACTAGTGGGGGCTAGCTATTTAGATATGTAGAAGATATGTAAAGATTTATGTTGGTGAAAATCATTAATCCTATTCCTTGTCCCTCGTATACCTGCATCTTCAATTTTGGACACTGCTCTATTGCCTTGGCTTTCAGCTTTTCAGTGTTTATTTTGTATAAAGAATACCAAATTTGACTGTAATAATTATATCTGTATTTTTCTCGTTCTTTTTTTTTCAGTGTTTGGTCGACGAGACAGTCTTGAATATTTAGATTTTTGTCCGAAGGTCGTTGTTATTTCATACACGATGTTAAGCATCCTTCGGAAAAGTATGATTAATAGGAGATGGGCACTGATGATCATTGATGAATCCCACAATATACGCTGCACAAAGATGAAAGAAGAAAATACTCAGGTGATACTATCAGGCAACAATTGAATATATCAATCCCAATCCAGGAGGGAGAGTGTATTTGACACATCATATTTTATTATTCTGTAGTAATCATAACATTGTTATGCTTGGTTACTCTCTTTGATGAAAAAAGTGTTTTTAAACCTGCTTCGTGTTTTCATCATTCCATTGTGCTTTCTTAATTTAAAATAGAACCACTGAAACTCTGTTGAGCAATCTTTTTCTTATCACTTCAGCCACCTTATTTCAATTTAAGGCGCCTTCTCTGATAATTTTATTTATAATTTGTAGTCTTACTAGTCTGATGCATCAACATTCCGCTTGCTTTACCAATGATCACTTCTACTCTCTTGTGACCGTGACAGACAAAAGCTGTACTGGAAATAGCTCTCAATATCAACCGCATTGTGTTGCTTTCTGGGACACCCTCTTTGTCAAGGTTGTACTAACTTCTAAAATATATCCATTGATCTTCTCAGGGATCCTTGTGTTGTTGCGCTATTTTTGTTGTGGACATTTAAAACTATAAACAGGCAAATGGATTTATGGTATATGAAATATTTTATGTATGCCATTAGATGATTTCAAATGTTAGGATTAGAATCAATCTCAAAGCACTTCCATTTTAGTTAAGAATTAGAAAATAATTGTAGTTTTTTAACTACCATTTTCTCCCACTGTTTTGACTTTAGAAAATATTACTAAAAGGTCTTTGCCAGTTTTCTCCTTCTGTTTTGAACATCAAACTAAGACCAGTGATCCATGAGAAACATGTCAGTTGCATATGTCTCTTCAGTATATGGTTACCTGTTCATTTTTTCTAATAGGGACCTAAAGGTGTATACTGATTTGCTGAATTATTTGTACTGCATATTGGTTCCACGTCCCTTACCAATTATTGTTACATCTGTATCTTCTATTTTCTTTGCGTAAGCTGAGCTCAGTGTCTGTATTGTGGGTGTTAAAAGTGCCCATCCGTGTCTTTGCATTCTGTATTGTGGGAGTACTTTTTACCCTGCGCACGATATATCTGACTGATTGGTACTGATGTGTGATTTTGTTGTGATACAATTGCATTCCAGAAAATTAGTTAAACCATTTACTACTCTGGACTTCACTTACCATATATGTTTGTTTGTCAGATTTAACTAATGGTTTCTTTTTTTCCTAGGTGACAATAGACCTTTTGACATCTATCACCAGATAAATATGTTATGGTAAGAAAAGCAGAATGTCATCTTATTGTGTTGGGCATATTGATCTTTTCTGACCACTCCCTCTTGGTTTTCAGTCCCCGTTTGCTTGGAGATGATAAATTTGAATTTGCAAAGACATATTGTTCACTGCATGTTGCTCAAAGCTCCCAGGGTAAAATTTACCAGGTATCTATATCTTGTGATTGTCCCTATTGTCAAGGAGATTGGTAGATCGCTTCAAAACCTTGCAGACTTGCACTTGCAGTTAATTTGAGCAAATAGTGTCTGACTATCTATTAGTCTATACAGAAATGTTTAAATATTTAAGTTCTTCACATCGTTTCACGTCCAGGACTTCTCAAAAGGTGCTCGTTTGACAGAGTTAAATGTTCTGCTCAGCCAGACTCTGATGGTCAGCTCTTTCTCTCTCAGCTATTAAAGCCTCTTTGTATAGCTTTCTGTGATTATTGTATCCATGGTACTGTATCTTGTTACTGCTATCCAAACTGCTCATGAACTTATATGGTCACTGCATATTTGGCCTAAGTTCTGCTTGATGATATTTGTTAATTGATTTTGATCAGCTTGGCAGTATATACAGTTTTTATATGTATGAACTTTGTTCACTTGATTATGTATAGAGTCTGCATGGCAGTATGTTATGGAATGCTGTACTCTATGCATGATGAAATTATTTATGTTGTACTCCATCCGTAAAGAAATATAAGAGTGTTTAGATCACTAAAGTAGTGAATTAAACGCTCTTATATTTCTTTACAGAGGGAGTAGAAACTATCCTTTACATGGTTGATGATGTTTTTACCAATGAACGTGTGTTTACTACAGAAGCATGTTTAAGAATGAGACTAGCTTCAGTGCGTAATACTCCATACATTCTCTTATAGATATTGTTTAGAATGCGTGCGATGGAACTTCAACAACTGTGTCCACAAAGTATATTGATGTGTCACATGAAAATTATATTGCTAGATTTCTCACTTGAAGTGCTTCTATATGATCCCATTTCTTAAATATTGTACCATATGATTAGAAAATTAATGGTGCAATGTGGGTATTGGAGGGAGGTCATGTTGATGTCTGAAATGAAAAGCAGAGGAGAATGAGGGTAGTAAGTTGCTAGCTATATGGACTAAAGCCCGGCGGGTCGTTTTGCTTCCTGTCACAAGCCATGTAACTGCAATGATGTGTTAGGCTGATATTTGATGGTTTATCAATTTCAGATCTAATGGCTGGAGTTTGCTTCTGTGCTGCAGATTAGGCGCTTGAAGGAGCATTTGTTAAATGAACTGCCGCCCAAGCGCCGGCAGATCATTAGGTTAAAGTTGAAGGCATTGAATAGCAGGACAGCCACCTCTATTATCCAAGGGGATTACAATAGCACATATAGTAGCTCTGATGCTCCTATAATTGCCTCTTCTGAGATAAGCAATGACTGTGAAGAAGCAAAAGAGGGAAAAGGTAACATTCATGCTGCTAATAGTAGCAGATGTCAATCGCATATGTTAATCTTACCAACATGATTACCTTCTATGAATTTGCCATGAACTGGTGTGATGTCGAATAGATAGTTATATTGGCCTAAAGCAAGAGGACTGGCTGTAGATACTAAAACTAACCGGTCATTTTGTTGAAGCATGTTTGTTGCATTAGTCATTGCTTTGCATATGCAATACCAAATGTGCCTGGCCTCCAGCTGTGCAGATTATGATGCTGTCATTGACTATCTGAAATGTATTTGCAAAATCTAGATCAATGGGGGAACCCTTTGCTAATGTTATACTGACGGTAACAAAAAAATATCAACACTGTCAATACAAACATTCCCAACATTTTCTTGATTTGAACTATAAGCTTTGACGTTAGCATTGTTTGTACTCCATGTATATCAAAAAGTTGATGGAATCATGGAATTGCAACTGTCTATTTTATACTACCAATGAATTTCCACTGGAAGATTCCAATTCTACCTTATTCTAATGTATTGAATATAAATTGTCACCTTCAAAATTCCAAACATTTATCTAATGACCATAACCTACCATTTTTGGATCTGATATATTCTGTTCCTCAACTCGTAAATAATTCTTACTATGACATGGTGAAATGTATCAAAACTGTTACTGAGAGATGATCAGATGAAGCAAATGTTTTTCGTCATTTTAGCATTTAAGATGATGGTTCTAAGCTATGTGTTACTTTCCTTGTTTTTTTCCCATTTCCTCAGATGATAGTTGCAAGAAATCTCCAAGGCATTTCTCCCCCCAGGAAATTGGCATTGCAAAAATACCTGGGTTTAGTCAGTGGTTCTCAAATCATTTGATGCATGATAATCTGGACGCCCAGTCTAGTTGCCAGAAAACGCTAATTTTCGCCCACCACTTGAAGGTTCTAGATGGAGTGCAGGTAAGATTTACGTTTACAAACTATGATGGGTTTTTTATATGTAATTTGAATACTTAAGTGGTGCTTCAACCAATTTTGTTCTTTATGTATTAAATAAGGAATAAGAATCTCAATAAGATTCAATACTCAAAAGTCGGCACTTTACAAGTAATTGAAAGAAATTGAGTGACATTTGTTCCTGAAAATTACGGCTTACTGGACCCACATAGTCACATCAAAAGTTAGAGAGATGATAATATCTTGTCCAGCATATTTTGGTAAGGGTCTGAGGACCAGTGGTAGAGCACTTCCTAACGTTTCTTTCGGTGGCTGCTGCTAAACTCAAGTGTCTAATTATATGACTTCTAGAAGAAAAAATATTTCTACTTTTGACTCAAGTATTCTCTATCCAGGTGTTCCTCTCTGAGAAGGAGATCAAGTTTGTTCGCATTGATGGCAGCGCACTTCCTAGAGAAAGGAAAGAAGCTGTTGATTCTTTCCGTTTGAATCCAGAGGTTTTCATTTCCCCTTGTTTTATTCATCACTCACCACTGTTAGAGTATGAGTAATTTTGTGAAAATAGTACAATTTCCATAAATTTGTTTGTGCAAGTTTAAATGTTTTGACAAAAGAATGTCAGCTATAGGTATGTGCCGGCTCTCTATCCATGAAAAATTTCAAGAACAAACTGAATCATTTTTCTAGATACCAAATTTAAAGCTATGACATGCAACAGTCTGAATTAAACAGTTAATCTGCCATTTTTGTATCTCGCAAGCAGGACTGAGTCTGTTCTTAAAAAATTGTATGGATATAGAGCATGCCCATACCTACGCCTGAGAAGTTTTACTTCTATATGTGATTTCTACAGAATTTGGAAAAAAAATCACGGCAGGGAAAAAATCCCTTGTACCTAGTCCATATGATGCTACGCTTCTTATCTTGCATACTGCTTATCCATCATTGAGTTATTTTACTCTTTGCTAAATAGGTCAAGGTTGCAATAATAGGAATTACTGCTGGTGGTGTTGGTTTAGACTTTTCATCTGCTCAGAATGTTGTTTTCCTGGAGCTCCCAAGATCGTCTTCAGACTTACTTCAGGTACTTGTTTTTTCCAACCTTGCACATACATTTTCATTTCAACCCATAGGAAGTGCAAAATTAAACCAGGAGAATTTTTTTGATATCTTGGTAGTTTTGAAGTATACAATGTTAAACCAATCCAGCTGTTCTTGTGAACCTACCCGTGTAGTGAAGTGTTCCGACAGAGTCCTTGAATTTATGCCCATATGTGTCCACTTCACAGTTTATGTGCAGTCTTGAACACATGTATGGCTCACCCTCTTTTACTGTTGTTTCAAATTTATGTCCACAAGTGTAATGAAGTGTCACCGCAAAGTCTCTGAATTTATGCCCATGTGTGTTCACTTCACACTTTATGTGCAGTCTTGAACACATGTACAGTTCACTCTCTTCTACTGTTGTTTCAAATGTTGTTGTAACTACTAACTGCTACATTTAATTGGTGATAACATCATAATAGGCCGAGGATAGAGCTCATAGGCGTGGTCAAACAAATGCGGTCAATATATATATATTCTGCGCAAAGGTTAGCTCCTTTCCTGTTTCCCTGTAGTGTATTTAGTAATTTTGGTAATTAGAGCATTAAATTATTTTGTTCCTGCAGAACACATCAGATGAACCACAGTGGCTTCGCTTGAACCAGAGTCTGTTCCGTGTCTCATCTGTGGTGAATGGGAAGAAAGATGCTATAAGAGAAATTGAGGTAAGTCCATAAGTGATTGGGTTTGCAACTGGCTGCGTCGTAGGTGCTAATTAATTTCAGAAAGGCGAGTGAAACATTTGCAACTGCATGAAGCACACTTGTGGAACATTTGCAACTGAGATAGTGTTGAAACTTTATTTACAAACTGAGAAAATATTTTACATGTACGGAGAAGCCTGGTAAAGTGTTAGAACTCAGATGAGACCTGGTTGATTGTATCACTGCTGGCATCAGTTGGTTTACTAGGATCTTGAGCAAGATTCTAGGACCAATGCACACAATTCAGTTATTCTATTAGGCTTTATTCATTCATCATTCCTTCCCTCTTTGTAAGGTTGATCAAGTTTATTCATTCATCGTTCCTTCCTTCTTTGTAAGGTTGATCAAGTTTACCACCTTGGGGAAATCAGTAACACTAAGGAGAGACCAGAAATTGAGTTTCTTCCAAATTGTGGTGCAGGTAAAACATTAGGAAAATCAGCATCAGATGATTTAACTAAATTTTTTGAATGGAAAGTTTTTTTTAATGGAATCAACAATTAGCTCTAGCTGATTAATTGATAGAGAGACTGAGTTATTTAAGCCTTATACAATGCTCTTCTGGTGAATCAAAAGGTCTTTTGGAAAGTGGCACTATGTCTGTTGACCATCTTCCTGGCATCAGCGATATGGAGCTTGAGTCAGATTTCACTATTAGGACTATTCCTCTACAGATTGAGGTTCAAACAAGATGCCCCTCTTAATTTTTTTGCCATTATTCACTGGACTCTCTTATCATTCATTCAGCATTCCCATGCTTGATTTCCAGCTGATTCTGCTTGTGCACCTTACCCTCTTAGGATGAAGGCCTTCATTCAGGAATGCAATATACTCCAGGTCCAGCAGTACATGAAGATACAGTTTGCAATAGTTTTTCTATTTCACCAGCTATCTCTGGCTCTTCAAGTACACGAAGTAAATCAACGAAGGTAATTAAAAAAATTCTTGCTGGTATTATATTATATTGTATTTTGTGCAATGTGTCATTTTTAGTGGATAATACAATGTATCTTATGCTGCTCAAATACAACAGGTTCGTAGGAGCTTTTGTGAAAATCGTGATACTTTAGGTCTTCCAGGAACTATTTCAGATGGCCATATTCGAGTGGAGTATCTGCGTTTCGAGGTTAAAAATTCTTCCACTTATACTATCTTTTGTCATCTTTGTGTTTACATGTTTTTTTGA